CAATTTATAGTTAACGGTTGTTCTTAAAAACAAATTTTAGCAAGTTCCCAAATATTTTTTAGAAAGTCTATAGCTCGGATCCTGGGACTAACCTAGAGAAGAGATGAGATTCCCCCAAAGCTCAGCCGTCTGCCAGGCGAGGAAGAAGAAGCCGAAGAAGCGCACGATGATGGCGTCGACGGCCTGGTCGGTGAGCTTGGCGTACACGGCGCCCACCTGGGTGAGGTAGGTGGCTTTGGCCGCCCACATGGGCGCGGCGCCCAGCCCGAGCAGCACGCCGGCGGGCACCAGCGTGTAGAAGCGCGGGTAGAACTGCGCGGCCAGGTACGGCACGTAGCACAGCATGGACACGCACAGCGTCCACTTGACGGTCAGTCTCTTGATGAGCAGCGTCGGCACGAAGATGCACGACAGCACGAGCGCGGCGTAGATGGCCGACAGCGACACGGTGCCCAGCCCGTCCTTGGCGTTGATGCTGCTCTGCAGGTTGGCCGTGCCCTGGAAGGCCGTGAACTGCACCATGAAGGCGAAGCTCACGGCCGCGATGTTCTTGAGGATGCGCCACTTCTCGTTGCGCTTGAGGCGGCACTTGCCGTCCGGGCTCGGGATGGCCTCCTCCTCGGTGGAGCTGAGCGTCGGCGGCGGCTTCTTGGGGTCGGCCAGCGCGTCGCCATCGCCCTTGAAGGCCTCGTTGGTGTAGCCGCCCGTCACGGACACCGTGACCACGTCGTCGTTGTTGTGCTTGGCGTGGCGCTTGGTCGGGCCGTCGCCGGCGTCGTCGCCGGCCGAGTAGGAGAACACCATCCTGGCGGCTGGCGGCTAGGACCTGCAACCAGAGGACACACTACGGTCAGGAGACACTCGACACATTGTTTTTGTGACAGTTTCCACTGATTTGTTTTCGATTTTTTTTCTTCCACCTTTATTTTTGCAAGATTGCGTCCAACGCACTGAAAGTAAGTAAATTAAAGTTTTGTAAGCCGTTTACATTTGTAAAGTTTGCAATGCAGTTTCGTTGGTGAGAAGGCAGCCCAGATAACCTATTTAGGGTGTGATGGAGGATATGGCTGCACACGCTACAAGACATGCTCCAGCTCTTGGAAAGCGCCTCTTCCCTGTGCAAACAAACTTATGGCGAAACTGTGAAAAGGAAAAAAATATCATCGCGCGTGGTGGTCGGTCGTCGCTCGGTCAGGTCAGTGAAGCCTGCACTCCCGCATATGGTGCAATGATGACTGCATGCCGTGTTCCCCGCGAGGGT